ACACCTCGTCAACAGGTCCGTGGGACGGTAGGGGACCCCGCGTTCCGACACGAAGCCCGCAAAGGCCATGCCCTCGAGCACCTTCATCAGGAAGTCGTCCTCCACCAGCCCACGCTGGCCCAGGAAGGCTGCCTGGGGTGCACGAGGAGGTCAGCCCGCAGGCACCGACTGCTGCCCGACCGCTGTGCCCGCCCTGATGCCCACCTTGTGGAAGCGGATGACAGGCTCCGGGTGGATGCGGACCATGTGCAGACACCAACGGTAGCCCTGCAGGAGCTGAGCAAAGAGCCGCAGAAAAACAGCCCGCAGCTCCTTGTCCTGGGTCGCAGGTGAGTGCAGGTGAGTGCCCGGCCCCTGCACAGGCAGCCCTCACCCTCCACCCACTCCAGGCTCCACCTCCTCAAACCCAAACCCTGTGGGGGCCCTGCTCAAGCCTCCCCAGGTGCCTCAGGCCTTCCTCTCCCTCCAGCCCCCTCCACACAGAGCGCAGGGATGCCTGCGACACCACTGACCACCGCTCCTGCCCAGGGCCCTCGGAGCTCAGCGCCTGCCCTCCCACCTCCCCCGCGGCCAGGGTGGCTGCGCTGTGCTGGCGGCAGGCCTAAGGAGAGGGCACAGGAAGGCATGACCCCACCTGCATCTTCAGGGAGGAAGAGGATATTGTGGGGGGTGGGAAGGCGAGATCTGCCAACTCCAGCTCCGGGTCCAGGACCTAAGCAGCGGAGAGGAGGGTGGTAGGCGCACCAGCCCAGGCACTGAGGCCCGTCCGCCTGCCCTCCCGGGGTCTCACCATGCTCAGCACGCTGTGGGTCTGGCTCTGCAGCGGTTCCGGCAGCGGTGGAATGTGTACACACTCGGGGACAGTCACCGTCCCTCCATCCAGGTCAGCCACAATCACATCCAGCTGCGGACCGAAGGCGGGGGGTGGTCAGGGACCCGCAGGCCAGCCAGCAGGGCCTGGAGCGCGGGGCGTACACAGCGTGGCCCTCACCAGCTCCTGGGTCTCTGCCTGGAAGGCTGCGTTGACGCCGATGATGAAGGGCGTGGGCGTGCTGAGAACCTCCAGGAGCTGCGCCGGCAGGATGGGCACGTAGGTGAAGCTGCAAAGGCCAGGGCTCAGTGAGGGGGGTGCCGGGAAGGAGGGGGATGGGCAGAGGGGCCAGGCAGAGGGCTGGGTGGCAGCTGGGGCCCGGGCAGGCACCTGTATCGGAGCGGGAACAGCAGGGCCAGGAGTCCTCGGCAGGCGTCTGAGAGGCGCTGGTAGCTCCGGGACAGGAAGAGCACCTTGTGCTCAGTGAGGGCAGCGCAGAACAAAGACAGCACGTTGGTGATGCCTGAAGGGAGAGGACAGGCTGGCAGGCCCTGCCCCGCCCCACCCCACACACAGTGACAGCCTCAACCTCTGACCCCGGCAGGGGAGGAAAGGGAGGCCCGGGCGGCGGGCTCACCTAGCTGGCGGAAGAGCAGGGCCACGCTGCAGCGGCTGATGGGCAGGGAGTCGGTGAGTGGGGTCTGGATGACCTGCCGGTCACCTGCCCCCAAAGAGATGGTTCTCTGTGGGAAGAGAGAGTGGTGCTCAGGGGCATCGCCCAGGCCCGAGTCAGCCCAGAGCTCTGTGGCCTCAGCAGGCCGGGAGGGCTGACGGGGCCCGAGGGAAAGGCCACACCAGCCTCTGCTGGCCCGAGCAGTGCTGCAGAGAGAGCTCGGGCCTCTGACCTGGGCAGGGATGGGCCTGGGTGGGCAGAAGAAACAAAGAGTCCGTACCACTCCGTCCTCAACAGAGTCCAGCTGCACAGGACAGACGGGCAGAGAGACACAGTTAGACACACTCGCACACGGCGGCTCGGACAGAGGCTGAGCATCCAGAGACAGCACATCCCAGGAGCGAGAGGACAGAAACACTGACAGGTGCCAGACAGAGAGCCAGGCGACACGGACACACAGGCGAGCAGACAGGCCAAGGAGGGATGGTGGCTGGCAGTGGCACCAAGACACACGCGTGTCCGAGGCCTGGGGCCGGGCTCTGCCCAGGCTCGACTCTGAGTGCCTGCAGCCCCACCCCCACGGCCACAGGCGAAAGGAGGGCCCGGCAGCTGCCTCAGACCCACCTGTGAGCCCCCAGCCAGGGGGATGATGCAGGTGAGCAGGTTCCCGACCACGGTCTCCAGGCCCACGTTCAGGCCCTCCACGTGGATGGTGTAGATGAGACCCAGGCTGTTCTGCAAGAGCCACAGACGAGCATGGCAGCAGCTGGTGGGAGACCCACGCCCTGCCTCGACCCTGGCTGCCCGCCTCACCCTGAACACCTCCACGTGGTCCAACCGAGACACCAACACCAGAGTCTTTGGAGCGAACAGCTGGCCTGGCGGGCCAGACGTGCCAGGTGACAGTCGCCCTGGGCCTCCCTCGTCGGCTCTCTCTTCCCTCCCGGCAGCGTCCTCCGAGCACACGGCTTCCTGTGGACAGAAGCCCATTCGCCTGGCTCCCAGGCAGGTCCCGTGAACCCAGCAGGAGGACACGGTGACTCTTCCGGAAACTCCAGGCTCCATGGGGTTAGGTGCCAGGACGACCGCAGACAGGGAGACACACCCGGGGCAGGGGCAGGGGCAGGGGCCGGGGCCGGGACAGGGGCCGGGGCCGGGGCGCAGCCCCAGGCTGACCTGCGTGGGCTCTGCTGGCTCCCAGAAGGTCAAGCAGGCACAGTAATGCCGCTCCGAGTTGATGTCAGTGAGGACGGCAACGAAGAAGGTCGGTGGGTTCCTCTCAGGACACAGCTGCCACCCGCTGGGCTGGCAAAACTGTGGGAGGGAAGGGTCGGGGTCAGCTCCCTCTGCACGCTGCCACGGAGTATGCGCACAGCCAGGGCCTGGATGCCAGGTGCCAGAGCAGCAGATAGCACCTCCCTGGGCCACCGGGGGCACCTCACTTCCTGACCTAGCCTGCCCCCCGCAAAAGGGAGTAATAGTCTAGGTGGGGTGAAGACCCTGTGATGCAGGACATGGTCCCCATAGTGAAGAGGGAGGGATGACAGGATGTGGGCACCGAGCACCCTGCCAGCCAAGCCAGTGCCCCTACCCCCCACCCCCAGAAGCAGCTCAGACATCTTCTTGTCCCGAGCGGGCCGGGCCCCCAGCAGCCAACACCCCACTCACCAGCTCGATGCCCTGAGGGAAGGGGTTATCCTCCCAGTCCTTCTCCGGGAAGCGCTGCAGGATCTGGCCCTGGCCTTCCCCACTCCCTGAGGACAGGAGCAGGGGGTCAGAGCACCTGCCACCCCCCGCCCCCCCCACACACACACACCAGGCAGGAGCCTAGAAGCCCAGGGTGGAAACGTCCCCACCCCCGCCCCGTCCTCATCTGGCACCAGGCTGGCCTCAGCTCCCAGACCTACAATTTCCCTAAAAATAATCCAGAGAGAGGCCACCAGGCAGCCACAGGCCCAGGGCCACCAGAGGGCGGGGGAAGCCCTGCTG